ATATTTTTTTGGAGTAGTTTTAGTTGCAACAAGATAACAAGATGGTAACCGAATATTTTGCTGATCTGAAGCAAATTTCAGAAGAATTAAATGATTTAATGCCTCTCTCAAGTGATATTACAGTTATGCAAAGGCAAAGAGAACAAATGCTTCTGCCCAAATTCTTAGCTGGCCTTTAGCAAGTAAACAATTACCACCTTTGCATCTTACGTTCTGCATCTAAGGATAATGCATAGGATGATGGTACTCTAATTAATAAAAAGTTTACTTTAGTTGCTAACAACAATCGGATTGAGCAACATAGTCCTGGACGTGAGCAACTTAGTTTTGGATGTGGCTCTCATGGAAAAAGAAGTAGAGGAGGTCATGGAGGTCAAAGCACCCGTGAGTGTACTCATTGTGGTTTGAAAAATTACACTCATGATACTTGTTGGGATTTAGTTTAAAAATCTCCTCGGTTTGCTATACGGTTACCACTGATCAAGCTAAGTTAAGTTCTTCAACACAAGGGTCCGAAAAGACTTTTACCATATCTGAGAAAGATTATGTTAAATTTCTATAATACCAAACTGCAAATCACGCATCTCTTCCCTCTGCTTCTTTAGCACAAAAAAGAAATGCTATGGTTTGTCTCTCCACATCCTCTAATTCTGACTCATGGATTATTGACTCCGGGGCTACTGATCATATGTTAGGTATGTCTAGACATTTTTCTAATATTCAAGAGTCTACTTCCTTTTCTCATGTTGCTTTAACTGATGGATCTACAATTAAAGTTAAAGGACTAGGCACTATAGAAATTCATCCATCTCTTCCGCTGTCTTTTGCTCTTTACGTACTCAATTTACCATTTAATCTAATGTCTGTTAGTAAACTTACTAAATTTCTACAATGTTCAGTTATTTTTTCTCCTGATTTTGTTGTCATTCAGTATTTGAAGACAAAGAGGACGATTGGTGGAAGGCATGAGCATATTGGTCTTTATTTTCTTAACTCTAATGGTCTGATTGTGTGTCCTGCTATTGTTTCTTCTCTTGAAATTCATTATCATTTGGATCATCCATCTCTACAAAATTTGAAGAAGTTGATTCATACTTTGAGTCAGTTGTTTTCATTAGAATGCGAGTCTTGTCAGTTAGGAAAGTATCATCGTATTTCTTTTGCCCTTAGAGTCAATAAACGAGTTTCTGAACCCTTTTTGTTAGTTCATTCTGATATTTGGGGTTCTAGTCGTGTGTCACTTTAAAGTTAGGTTTTAAATATTTTGTAATCTTTGTTGATAACTTTTTTAGGGTTCTATGTTTTATTTAATGAAAAATCGTTCTAATCTATATTTCATTTTTTGTGCATTTGTTACAAAAATAAAGAATCAATTTGGTGTACCTATACGTATATTTCGCAGTAATAATGACAAAGAATTTTTTTCACTCCTTTTGATACTTTGATGACTAAATTCAGTATTATTCATCAATTCTCTTGTCCCCACACTCCATAACAGAATGGAGTTGCTAAAAGAAAAATAGGACATTTAATTGAAGTTGTTTGAACACTTTTGTTGCACATGAATATACCTAAACAGTTCTGGAATGATGCAATTTTAACTGCATGCTATTTAATTAATCGCATGCCATCTAATATTCTTGGAGGTCAATTACCTCACTCTATCTTTTTTTCTTGTGAACCTGTGTTTAAATTATCTACTCATATTTTTGGATGTGTGTGTTTTGTTCATCAACTTGCTCTAGGCGTGGATAAATTAGATTTTCGTGGTATTAAATGTATTTTCTTAGAATATGCATGAGGGTAAAAAGAGTGTAGATGTTACAGTTAAGTTTTAAATCGATTTTTTACTTGTGTTAATATTATTTTCTTTGAGTCCACTCCTTATTTTATGAAATAAGGTATATCTAGTAAATTAGAACAGTGTTCCTCTTTTTCTTCTCCTGTTTTACTAGTCCTTTCATCTTTATTACCTAAGTTATACAATCCATCAGATTCCACAACTCAATTATCTCATCCTAATTTTCAAATTTATTCTTATTATTCCGTAGTTGAGAAAGCTCCTGATACATCATGCACTTCACCAATTAACTCTCAATCTTCAAATCCAGGTATGATGCCCTCCTGTGAGTTAGATCTTCTTATCGTTTTCCACAAAGGTAAGAGGCGTTGCACTTCTCATCATATTTCTAATTTTGTTTCTTATTTTCATATCTCTCCATCATATTCTTTTTTTGTTGCTTCACTTGATTCTGTATCATTTCTAAGTCTATTACCCATGCTCTCAATTATTCTGGTTGGAGATTAGCTATACAAGAAGAGATATTTATTTTGGAGCAAAATGGTACTTGGGATCCTGTCCCTCTTCTTTCTGGTAAGTCTGTTGTTGGTTGTAAATGGGTGTATACTATAAAAGTGCAGTCTAATGGTTCTATTGATAGATTGAAAGGTCATCTGGTAACCAAAAGATTTACTCAAGTGTATGAAATAAACTACTTGAAACATTTTCATCTGTTGTAAAAATTACCTCTATTTGTCTTCTTTTCTCTTTAGTAGCAACTTATAATCGGCCATTGCATTAGTTGGATGTGAAAAATGCATTTTTACAAGGAGATTAAAAGAAAAGGTATATATGAAACAACCTCCTGAATTTGTTGCTCAGGGAAAGAATTCGTGGTTGGTTTGTCTTTTGAAAAAATTCTTATACGGATTGAAATAGTCTCTTGCGGATTGGTTTGGCCGGTTTAGTAGTGTTGTCATGGAGTTCGATCTAACAAAATGTAGAATAAATCATTCTATGTTTTATTGGCATATTAATGCGACTAAGATTTTATTAATGATTTATATGGATGATATTGTGATTGCATATGATGATAATGTGGGGATCCAATAGCTTAAGTCCAATTTACATGCAAATTTTCAAACAAAAGATTGGGTCACTTACAGTATTTTCTGGGTATTGAGGTAGTTCGGTCTAAATATGAAATTTATTTATCTCAAAAAAAATATGTACTTGATATGGTGAGTGAAGTTGGAATGTTAGGTTGCCAATCTGTAGATACTCCCATGGATTCTAATGTGAAATTAGTAGGAGATCAAGGTGCATTACTAGATGATTTTGGACAATACTGAAGACTTATGGGTAAATTAAATTATCTCACTGTAACGAGACGTGACATTTCGTTTGCAGTGAGTGTCATGAGTCAATTTTTTGAAACTCCTCGTACTAGTTTTTGGGATGCTATTATACGAATTCTCAAGTATCTTAAAAGTTCTCCTGAAAAAGGATTGTTATATCAAAATCATGAACACACTGATATTGAAGAATATAATGATGCAGATTGGGTTGGTTCTGTTTCAGATCAAAGATCAACCACTGGATATTGTATGTTTGTTGGTGGTAATTTAGTGTTGTGGAAGAATAAGAAGCAAACAGTTATCTTCAAGTCAAGTGCAGAATCTAAATATCACGCTATGGCTCACACTATGTGTGAATTGATTTAGTTAAAGAGCATGTTACTTGAAATTGGGTTTGAGTATAAACAGCCTATGAATTTAATGTATGATAATCAGGCAACTATTTATATTGTGTTTAACCCAGTGTTTCATGAAAAAATAAAACATATTGAAATTGATTATCATTTCATTCAAGAGAAATTACTTGATGTCTTCAAGACATCTCATATACCATCTGCAAATTAATTGGCTAATTTATTTACTAAGAGTTTAAAGGGCTCTAGAGTGAAATACATTTGTGACAAATTGGGCACTTATGATATATATGCTCAAAATTGAGGGGGAGTGCTAAGAAAATATAAACTCTTGTAGATAAATAAATTAGTAAGGATATTTTTATAAATAGTTTGTTAGGTTTGTACTACTATAAATATTAGTTGGTTACTCATGATACGTAAATTAAATATTTTTCTTCCAAAATACATGTTATCAATCATATCTCAGCAATTGATTTTTCAACCGTTGTAATTCAGCAGTATTTTTACGAAGTGTTTTGCATCATAAAGGTTACAATGCCTTCATACAAACGTTGCAACTGTAAAGCCATAAATCAGAAACCGGAAGAGAGGTGTAACAAGGCCCTTATCCATGATTATTCATTTATTCTAGGGCAGTTACACAGAGTGCCTACTAAGATCTACAAATGCAACACAGGTTGGAGTCTATATAGCGAATTATGCTGTAAAGATATGCCGCTTCAAATAGACAATTTAACAACAGATGAACAAAATCAATCGTCAAGTGGCCAGAGATCTTCCTTAAGTTATTTAAAACATCTAAAACAGTTCCTAAACAATGAAAACATCTAAAACAGTTTCTAAAACAATGAAAACATCTTAAACAGATTCTAACGCAAATATCTTCTTAATGATATTAGTATGATTTCCGACCCATTAAAATGTCCATACCAATCTAAGGATGTTGGAAATGAACAACGAAGTAGTCATTAGTTACACACCTTTCCAATTAGGTCCGACCAAGCATTCAGAGAAGTGTAGAAGAGACGATAAACAAGACAAACAGGAACTAGATTTAATTGAGAGCTGTCTTCCAAATATGAAAATGCTCATAAGTTGGAACTGCTCCTGTGTTTGGCCCTGTTTGAAGTTAAATTAGCAAAATCTTCCAATTTTTACGAGCTAGGACACCTTAAAGTGTATATTTTTACATAAGTCAAGAAACAAATTGTTTGTGTACATAATTCATTGGAATTGACATATTAACCCGCACACATATGCACTCGTTACTTTCCTTCCACTGATTATTTATTCATTTTTAGAACAAGAAGAAAAACATGTTCTCATGATAACCACACCCCCAGAAGACGAGGGAGGCAAGGGGCTCATCATTTTCAACCACATCAGATACCTAAAGACGTCAAATCAGTTTCACAACTTATATTTGCAAGACTTTTACTAATAAAGAGTGAATAATATCGTGCAGAAATTTAGTGTTCTCAAAACGAGAAGTGAATACTCCACAGCTTTCAAACTTAGGCAGGCCATACAATTGTAAAACCCCATGGCATCATATTTAAAGAAGCAGAGTTATTTCAGCAGGATTAGCTGACTCTGCCTCATATGGAAGGAAGCGTGTAGAGTGAAATTTAAGAGAGATGGAATTATAGACTTGATAACAAAGTTATCAAAAGTTATTGCTAAAATTTAACACCAGGATAAAAATCAAAATATACCCCAACTATTGCCAGTCACTAATCAGATCACTTTTTACTAAGCGCTTGGAAGGATCATGGCCTCAGGTCTTCAACGTTAATTGGACAAGCAGATGTCCAGGCAGACAGAGACTAAGAACAACAACAAATGCCCATGATACAGACCTCTTCATTCTTAAGGCAGGTTGTTGCACGTGACTCCATCTTTGACAAGCTGGTTAATGGCATCTCTCAACTTGAGATAATCATCCACGGTGTTGTAAACTTGATGAGAAATACGGGCATATCCAGCTACTCTACCATCCCAGTTGTCCCCTCCAATCTCCCCGTCTTTCAGGGCCTGGTAATATATAGGGACCTCTACTTCAAAATGGTCCCGCAAATGAGTCCTCAACTTTAATGCATCATCATCACTTGAAATCCTCAAACTCGAAGGCAAACCAACCATGGCCATGCTGGGACACATCTCAGGAGGAGATCCAAGATGAGTCCCCCACGCTCTGGCCAACAATTCCCCCATTCTTACAACGGCATCATGGTTCCTTTTTCTAATGCCAGCAATACCACCTTCAAATCTATTGACGAAATCTAAGACATCTGGAACAACCAGCTGAGAACTGTAGTCTCGTGTGCCAATCCAGGCACTCTCTATTGCCAAGCCATTCCCATATTCATGGGAGACTACAGGATGGTGCAAATCAAGGGCTATAGGGGACTTTCTACAGTACAAGAAAGCAACGGAGGGCGGACAAAAGAACCACTTGTGCAAGTTGCTGACATAAAAATCAGCCCCAATTTCTTTAACATCAACATGAACGCTGCCAATGGCATGGGCAGCATCCACAAAAACCTGCTCCACACCTTCTTCTCGGCAAATCTGAACCAATTCACGTACGGGAATGACGACACAGGGCATTGACGTAATGTGATCAATAATGGCAAGCCTAACTTTCCTACCATGGGCCTTACCCATGGCCAAGCCTTTGCGAAACTCGGCAATGATTTCCTGGTCAGAATGGACAGGAAAGGGAAGCTGGACCACAATGACGGAGCCACCGGCGCGAGTGACATAAGCCTCGATGGACTTCTTGACAGCCTGAAAGGCGCAGTGGAGCATGACAACGGCATCACCCTTCTGAAAGCGGCCCTCGGCAAAGGCCCAACCAACATGTTGAAGGACAATGGCAGCTGCAGTGGTGGCGTTGTCAACGATGGAGACCTCATCAACGTGGTCAGCATTTATGAGGGACGTGATGAGGGTGCGGGAGCGGAGGATGCCGTTTTGGAGGTGGTTGAAGAAGAAGTCGTCGGGTTGCTGTAGGAACCGGAGCTGCCACTGCTTCTGAGCAGCGATGATGGAGGCTGGACAGCTGCCAAAGGAACCGTTGTTAATTCGAGCAATACCCAGCTGGTGGTGGGCAAACTCTTGCCGTATTTCAGAGTCAGATATGAATGAGGATGGAGAAGACAACTTGAGTTTCTTAGGAATGTGGTTGTGATTGTGGTCGCCGTTGGCTTGGGGGTCTTCCATCTGTTCTCTCTTTTTCTTTTTCTTTTTCTTTTTCTTTTTTTCCCTTTTCTCCACCACCCACCTTCTCCTTTTTGGGGTTCCTTGGGCTAGTGGCTGTGCAAGAGATAGGATTAGGGTTTTCTGGTGCAACAGAAATCACCAGAAACTATATGTTTTCTATCACTAGAAAAACATCCCATGCAAGGCACGTGCACCTAGTACCTGTGCAATTGTTATTTTTTTTTTTAAATGTTATCCTTATATAATCGTGCAGTAGTAATGATATTTGATATCATGCATATATAATTTGGTAATACACAGTATTTTAAAAAGGTTACAAAGTCTGCAGTACCAAGAAGCAGAATAACTGGAAACAAAAGTATTTAATGAGTAATCCAATACAGCAGTCAGTTGCTTTTTTTCCTTTTTTTTTCAAGAGTCAATATCCATTACCTATTTCTCACTTGAAGTTCTACTTTTGCATCGCCGTTTTCAAAGCTTATAAACTCATAAAAGTCCAGAAATCTATAGACAAATTCAGCTAAAAATTTATAACTTCAAGTGAACATCTCTCAAGGAAACATTTCTGATGCAATTGATTAACGTCTGACAAAGTAAGACAAACATCATTTATTCTTATAACATTAGTCATATGTCTAAAATTCACTATCTAAGAACTATGTATCAGAAAAAATTGCCTTGCTGCTCATCTTAGACAGATCCATGTTACAGTTAAATAGATCTCTTGTAAAAACCAATGACAAAACCAAAATCCTTCAGTTGAAACTGTCCTAAACTGTCCTAGAGGTTTAGGATCCTAGAGGTTTCAGGCATACTACAATCATAAGAAATTAAAAGCAATTTGAAAGAAAAGAATAAACAACTTATTCCCCCGCTAAAAAAAGCTTTATTCAACCTAAGTACATCCAGAAGATTACTACATATGGTTTCTGACAGCAAGCAAAATTCATGCAACTAAATAATAAAAATATATCATGAACTGAATATCCTGACTATTCATTATGTTCTAGACAACAAAACCCTGCAGTTTATTTGACAACACCTTTACTTCCTAATCACATTTCATTTAAGAGTGAACTGAGGCTTTAGTCAATCACTAATCCGAAAAGAAACAATTTTCTCCAGCCAAATCCCTTCACAGAAACTACTCGAAGTAACCAAACAAACCACATTGACAGCCACCAACACCAATGACAAATGCTAAAAACTCCAAAACTCTGCTAGTAAGCGTTCCCATAACATCCCACAAATGCCTAAAGTTTAGCAAACAAATGTATTCACAACTTCAGTCATTCTCCTTTCTCATTGAGGGATTTTGCTAATGGCAGGTAAAAATCAGTTAATTTATGACAACAATTAGAGTATTAGCGTTTTATGACAGGTAAAAATCAGTTAATTTTACAACAATTGTAACAAAACCAACATGCAAATGGTGAAAGGGATAAAAAGGTTTCATGACACACACACACTCTTTTTCAAAATTACTACTCATAGAGGATTAGGTATCTGATAATGACTCTTCCAATTAGAGTTAACAAACCTCCATGTCCATTATCCCAGGTCTTATGGTATGTTTTGCAGTAGCTGGATCACTGAAAAACATATAAGTAGAGAGCAGAAGTCAACGTGAAATATAAAGCAGAATAAGATGAAGATATTGACTGTGTCTGCATAGGAGGATATTTGAAATATTTACTATAGCACTTTTTATGATGTGATGTAGAGATAAAAAGGTGATTGGGAAGATAAAGAAGGTTGATTGAAAAATGTGTTTGTGAAGTAAGGAAATAATTTTTTGCAAATAATATGATATTCAAACACACCCAATATTCCACATTTCAAGTTTGAAGTATAAATGTTTTTGCTGAAACGAGCATAGTCATTTGTCAGGTATTCAAAAACCCCTTCTACTAAATATGGATGGGAGACGTAATTAATATCAAAATAGGAAACTGCAGCAAAAACGTGTTACCAAAAACAGAACAAATCTGATATTTAATTCAGAATATTTGATACTTTTCAGTGGTTACAGGTTTTTGAAGAATAGGATCTTTTGTTTATGGAACAGATCTTGTTCGAATTTATTAAATTATATTTTGTAGTCTTTTTTTTTGTTTGTATTCACTCAAGTTTCTTTTATGCTAATTCAGTAGCAGCCAAAAAAAAACATATTAAATGTTACACTCTACAAGGGACAGATGAGCCCAAACATCCAAATCAGTATATCCAGTGCAAATTGAACTTTCCAAGTTCATTTACATTATTTGATGTCCGAAATATCAAAGAAGATCAATAGAAGAAAAAGTGAAATGAATGAACATATTAGATTTATAAATTACCTATAAAATTCTCCAACAAAGAATCTGAAGCACAAAAGCCTTTCACAAAATTTTTAATATATATCTTTAATTTTTGGATCAGTTTCAAGCGTGAACTTCATCAACTCCTCATAGCACTCCTACAAAGGCAAACAAACATAAGAAGTCTCAACATTTACATGTCCTGAGCATTGAAAATATCACAAATTAGATGGGAGTATAGCTTTAGTTTTTTTGAAAAATGAAGCACATGTACTTTTCGATTGCAAATATGGCTTAACTTCAGAAATGACAGCATGTGAGAAAATAGTGGGATCCAATTCCAATTTAGGGGTCTACAAGTTAAATAATCTGTCATTACCAATGATGAAATTAGAAAATGTTCATTATGGTGATCATTTTCAAAACTTGCATAGCCATACAAGAAAGGGAAAATCGTTCAAAATGTCCCTCACATTTTGCAAAATGACTTTTTTCATCCCTCACTTTTAAAAATGTATTTTTACGTCCCTTACAAATTCATATTGGTCAAATTTGGTCCCTATCTAGATTTCCGACTAGTTTTTTGTCGAAATCCACCATGTGCCTTGCACATGATCATTTTTAAGGACAAAATTATCAAATCAAAATTTACATAATCCAATCCATAGTCTCTCACATTTCACAAAATGAATTTTTTGGTCCCTCACATTTCACAAAATGAATTGTTTCATCCCTCACATTTCACAAAATGAATTTTTTCATCCCTCATATTTTACAAAATAAATTTTATTCCACATTGTTCATGTGTATGAATAACTTTTTTTTAAATTAATGTATATATCTATTTGATCTCATCTGAACAATACGAATAGCATGTAATATATCTCTATTTGATTTTGCCTAAACGTAATGTTCAGGTGAAATTAAAATAGATATATACGGGGGTTTAAAAAATTGTTAATTTTTCACTCATGTTCATTTCTTTTACTCGAAAATTGAATACAAAAAAAGACATTTAATTCTAAACATTATCAATTGTTTATATTGAATTAAATTTAGACAAAAAATAAACAAAGGAAAAGCATGACAAAAAGAAGTAAATAATTGACACTTTCAAATTTTAAGATACTCATAAGGGAAGAAATTCAACTGTTGGTCTTAAAGGTAGCGAGTAAAAATTTCAGATTTAAACTGCAATTTGTTAGCATGACTATAGAATTCGAATTAACACCAATTAATTAGATAGTCTTATTAAACAACTCAATAAATGAATTATTACCAAAATAGAAAAGGCTACAAACATTGAATAGATTCACATGATTAAATCATATATATATATATATAGATTTAAAATAAAATTGTTAGATTTAAATCCACGTATATATCGATTGAATAACATATGTACAGCTACAATTAGTCTGTTTAGGTGAAATCAAATAGAGATATATTACATGCTATTTGTACTATTCAGATGAAATCAAATAGATGTATACATGAATTTTAAAAAAATATATATTAATACACATGATCAATGAGAGATGAAAAAATTCATTTTGTGAAATGTGAGAGATGAAAACATTTATTTTGTGAACTGGAAGGGACCAAACAATTCATTTTGTAAAATGTAAGGGAATATAAATAAATTATATAAATTTTGATTTGACAATTTTATCCTTAAAAATTATCACATGCAAGGCATGTATTGAATTCCGGCCAAAAACTAATCAGAAATCTAGATAAGAACCAAATTTAATCAATGTGAATTTTTAAGTGACGTAAAAATACACTTCTAAAAGTAAGAAACGAAAAAAGTCATTTTACAAAATGTGAGGGACGTTTTGAACGATTTTCCCTAAAAGAAATGGTCGGAAATTCATTCTCTAAAAAGTTACCTTAGAATGTAAGAATATGATCTTGCTGCTAACTAAATTACTGTCCAGGAGATGATGAATAAAAACAACCCAAAAAACTAAACCAATGGACAAACCGGTTGGCATGAAATGCTCTAGAAAGCATTTGCAAGGTTGTTAAGTCAAAAATCAAAATGTAAGGATAACATCATAATGCCAAATGTGTGGAAAAAAAGGAGGGAACTTCATTGTTGGAAAGTTGAAAAATTTTTCCAATTCCTCAAAGGCAATTGTCTTTTTGAATGCATGCTCAAGACAATTTCTCATCTAGTTATAAAACCTCCATTTTTAATTTTGTTTTCAAGCAGGAGAGGAAGCAGAAAGAGGGGGGATTTAAAATGTGTGTGCCTAACCTATATATACAAAACTATCAGGTCAAGTAAACGCGAAAGCACTCATACCACTCCTTGTTTGAGTTTTCATCAACTAAAGCTCATTCCTTTTATAGTTTATTCTCATTATATATTATAAACTTCATAAGTACTGGAAAGACATAAAATTATTGTTTTTGGAGCCAAAATTTGATCCAGGATATGGTCATTTAAGTTGTCATGTACCTTTTAGATATTCCCTATCTTTAAGCCACACACATATATCCTCAAAATGACAATTCCATGAAATTACAGAGCAATATGTTTCCAGCAAATTAACATGACATACCTATCTTTCATTTTCTCATCAGGCATCTAGTAGTTTTCCACCACATTGAATTCAATCAAACACTTATAAATTGGAGAAAAAGAAATACCCTCAGCACACAAAGTAAAAAGTGACTCTGGGACACCAAAAACATGGAAGCACTGTGCCATAAAATGAAACTGCAATGACATTGAACTTCAACCAAGCAAGGCTAAACTAATTGAGAGCAGGACTTGTACCCAAAACCAAGTAGGCTTGTTAAGGAGGTGAACAGATTTGGTAAATCTTAGGATGATTTTGACCAAAGGAAATATTTATATCCACGTGCAGAAAATACCCCAAAATATTCTTAGACACATTAAGTAGAACAAAAACTATGCAATGCAAAATGATTTACACATGTAGATCTAACGTGTGTGCAAGAAAAGAAACAACTTAAAATTGACAATATTACATGAAAGTAAGCTCAACAAAAAGCAAAAAAAAAAAAACAACTAAATTTGTAACAGCAAAAAAGTAAAATTTAAGCAACTAAATATAGCACAAAACCCAATACCTCAAGTTTTTGATTATGTTGATGGCACGAGACGAAAGAAACTGCAGTTTATTGGAGGAGAAAAAATTTAATAAATAAAAACTTGAAAACCAAAACTGAAAATTAATCAATATGAGCAAGGAAAAAAAGGATTATACCTAGTAGCAATAGCAGATACAAATTCATCCCATAACAAACAGAAGTCGCTCAAAGCTCCTAAGAAACAAATTTGGCAAAGTAAATAATGGGGAAAAAATTAAACCTAAATAGATTGGAAATAAATAGCAAAAGAAATATAGAAGCATAAAACAAAATAATGAAAGAATAACTACCTGAATCTGTTACTAGAAAAATTGAAGAACACATAATCAAAATCATATAATTAGGGAAAATCCTAATCTACAATGAAATTGGAAATATATGAGATCAGATCTCAATCTAACAGAGCCATAGATGCACAGACTGCTTCTTCAATACTGTAAAGAAGAACAACAATGAAAACCCCAAGTTTCTTAATTACTTAGATATTTAAGAAAAAATCATAAGAGAAAAATATGCAAAACAGAGAATAGGAGAAGATATTTGAGTAAGGAGTGAAGAAAACCAGGAAAAAATGTAACAGAAGAAGGATATACGATCTCTGAAGTTTGGTCTGTGAAGAAAAGTAGAAAAAAAAATGGAAGATGAGAAGGATAGCTGAACTCTGAAGTCTGAACACAAAAAATAAAGTAAATGGGATAACAAATTCCAATTTTTTACATGATTAAGGAAAAGAAAATTGAGGATTAGCATCCACAAAAAAAAAAAAAGCTAGTCATTTCTTTTAAGGTATCATCTGGAAATTAACTAAGATAATAGTCATTAGTATCCAGGTCTAGAGACGCAAAATAGGATCAGAAAGTCATCAAAATTTTAGGTAGGCAATGCAAAGCAAATTGTAGTAGACATGAAATTCCATTAGTTGGTTAACTTCCCAACACAGAATATAATACCAAATCTACTTATCATGCACTTTGGGCAGAAAAGAAACAAAGTTGTTTTTTTTCTTTTTATGTTGGTAACTTAACTAACTTATATAGGTTTACCTACCACAACCAGGACCTTCTGGGGACCCTTCTTTCTTTCCGATTTTTTCTCAAAGTGAAAACCTCTGTTGTTGTTTCATAAAATTGATTGATTCGAACTCAATTATTATAAGAGACTAACTCAATACAGACAAAAGTGAGGGCAGAAAACTCAAACCATCAAAATGCCGTAAAGACTCCAATTGACTTTATAAACTCACTAGTATCAAAAGCTATACATTCAGTTAAAAAGCTTAGAAATAAATGCTCACAGAAATGAAAAATCATGATAATCAACTGCTCTGAGCCTTTAATTTAGTTCTCTCTTAGTAATGAAACACGTATCAAGTGCATCGGCAGAAACAATTGATTAAAACAGAAACAGGAACCATTATAAGCCTTGAGCAAATGAAAGCCATCAAAAAAGTTATTAAATCACCCCCTTGCTACTAAAATTGTACCAAACTAATACACAATGTCAAATACAGCACTGCAACCCGTAAAAAATGAAAAAGAAAACGTTGCCACAGATGAATACATAAACCATTTGGGGACTTAATTCGTTTCAATGTCATAATCCACTCAGGTATCAAAATCGCACAGACTTTTTATTTCTCCACCACAAAAATAGCCATTACAGAAAATCAACATATATAGAACAACAAAGGATTTGCATCTTTAGAAACCCAAAAGAAAGGAGGTAATTGAGCGGATATCTCAAACAATCCCAAAAGAAGAAGGTGATTTCACCATAACTCAAATAATACCCAAAATTCTCAGTAAAAAATTTTGGACAAAGGAATTAGGGCAAGAAAATTGGAGGAATTAGGGAGAAGGAGAAGGTACTTGCAAAATCTGAAAATTGGGGAAAATTAGAAGAAAATGAGAGAAAATTTACAATCGGGCAAGAAGAGGTAATTGCAGGAATAACTCAAACAATCCCAGAAGAAGAAGAAGGCGATTTCACCCATAATTCAAAAAAGTTTGGGCAGAGATTTTCGGCCAAAGGAATTAGAGCAAGAAAATTGACGAAATTTAGGGAGAAAAAGGAGAGATGAAAGAACCTACCTTGTTGTTGCAGAGAGTTGGTGGAGAAATTTCACCTTTCGCAACCCACGCACTCTCGATGAACCCTTGTTCTTTGTTCTCTTTTCCAAAGTAATTAAAAGAAGCAGGGCACAGTTATCCGATTAAACCAGCAGTCAAGTCTATGAAAGGCCAGAAACGGCCAGTGTATAACAAAATGTAGATTAAGTGCTACACTGTATTAAAAAAGGGCTGTGCAACGGGACGGTTGGTGGGGACCGGGGGAAAGGCCAATTTCACAGGAAGGAAACGTTTCTCGTATTTTATAAAATAATTTTTTTCGTTTCTCATTTTTTAAAATATAATTTTACATTCTTTATAAATTTACATTGATCAAATTTAATTTCTATTTAGATTTTTAACTAATTTTTAGTCGGAATCCGCCACACTTCTTGCACATTATCCTTTTTTAAAAGCAAAATTATCAAATCAAATTTTACATATTTTGATTCTTAGTCCTTTATATTTTACAAAATAAATTTTTTCGTCCTTAACATTTTACAAAATGAATTATTTCGTTCCTCACATTTCACAAAATGAATTTTTTCATCTCTCACATTTTTCAAAATGAATTTTTTGATCCCTCATTGATCATACGTACGAATAACTTTTTTTTAAACCCATATATATATATATATATACCTATTTGATTTTACCTGAATAGTATGAATATCATGTGATATATTTGTGAGGACCCGTAAAATTTTTCTTATTTTATTTTATCTTTTTTCGCGTGCATTTTCCTTACTTTATTTTATTATATTAATTTTTCAGAGATTTTTATAAGTAAGTATCGTTTTTAAATCATTCTCTTAGTATAAGTTAGTACATGTTAAGTTTGAGATGCGTCATAGACGTGGGACCCACTAGTGCGGTTTGTGTGATAAAATTTTGATGACTAGATGAAGTTTGGCATTCAGGGATATTATTTTACAAGATGTTAAGAGATAATTAGAAGTTAACTAGATAGATTAATCTTTGGCAGACAAAGAGATGAGAACAAAACCCTAAAAGCCAAGTGTTGTGAAACTATTGGAAGTTGGATTTTGACCAAAGTTATTTAATTTTCCTAAAATCAAATTTTGACCAAATTGTTTTCATTTCTTTCTCTAGCTTGGCCGAACCAATTGAGAGGAGAAAAGAGAGAAAACCTCATCTTGCATTTTCAATTTCTTCCACAAATCTTGAGTTCCAACCATTAAAATCTCAACTTACTCCATAAAAGTTACTTGCTAATGAGAATTAAAGGTGTTGGTGGAGTGATTTTGAAGGAAGAAACTCTAAGTTTCCACCTTTCTTGAGGTTACTAGGTAACTTTCCTAAACAAATCCTTTTTTACTTCTAATACTAGCATACTTGCGGTTGGAGTTGCAAAATATATAGTTTTATGAGATATATGATGACTTGAGGTGGTGATGTGGGAAATTTCAGTTTTATGGTGAATTTTCTGCTCTTATTGAACCAGTCTTGGTTTTCGGCGATATTTGGAAATTTGAAAAAATTCACAAAAAGTGAAATAACCTTTGAAATTCGTAACACAATAAGAGTCCCATACAAAGTTTCAAACACCACAAGCAGAACCAAATTCGGAGTTTTGAGCAACAACATACAACAGTTGAAAGTTGGTTGGTTTTTGTACCCTGTTCAGTGAATTTCCAGATTTGAGGAGAAATCTTTGGGGCATTCTTTGAGTATCGAAATGGCATTGAAATCACACCAAATCTGGTACACTTAAACTTCCATATATGAACTACTTCCCTACCAAAATTTGGGTAAAAACTTGAACGGTAAGGCAGTTAACGAAACGACCAAAGTTTGTAAAATGTTTCAAAGCTAATCTGCCCTCTTGCTTTTCTTTCTTTTCAAACGTTTTGTCCAACACAATCAGCCCCAATTCGCTCAAATTTTGAAAACAAAGTTCCAGAAACGTTTAATAAACAATTGATGGTTAAATAACTCTAAAATTTTCGAAATATAACCACCCAAAACAGATTCGACCATTTGGTCAACAAGGAAGGGAAATTCTTCCAATTTCCAGTTTTATTGTATTTTTGGAACCAAACCATATCTTGCTCTGTACAACTCCGAATTGAGATTGGCTTATGGTGTTGGAAACTAGGTTCCAAATACTACAATTCATCAGAAGATATCATTCTGAAAATCATTTCATAAGTGGGACAAAATTGAGCCACAAGATGCAGCTTCCAGTTTCGTTCGCATACACAGTCAAAACAGAACGGCCAAATTTGCCGACTCGCTACGGTTCACACAAAACAAACCAGTAGATGATTTTTATACCGTTAGAAAGCTATGGATGTCTAGTTTTGAATGCCACTAACAGCACTCAGTTTCAACTTTTGTACACAGAGATACATTAGGACAAAGAAGCACTGTCCGAGTGCACTGTTATCAATTTCAAGATTTGAAACTCTTCCCAAAACTCAAGTTTTGCACAACCAAATGATACAATTTTTGAAAGGCAGTTTGTACACACAATATACAACATACATCCGTCAATTTCACAGTCCACCAAGTATCAAAAATTCGAAATAAAAACAGAACAATAAGACCAGAAATTTCGGCCAGCTTGAATCCTACAAGTTTTTCCAACTTTCTCTCGTCCTTCTAACCGTAATCCTCTCATATAACACATAACCAACAATAATCAAGAATTTTAATTCTCAATTCAGCTACCTACAAGCCTCGTCAAGACCGCTAGCCTAGGATTAAAGCAAGATAAATGGTTTTCCTCAAGCCCGCTAACCTATACGCGGTTAGGGTTTCAAACCCACGGAGATTAACCGCTAAAACTTGGAAGAAATGAAGAGTTTAAAGGGATGAGAAGGTTACCCTTCAAACCCTAGGTGAAACCAGAATTTTCAACCGAAATTCCTCCAAGAAAAGTCCACAAGATCGCTCCTTGCTCCAAGATGGAAGGTTACTCCAAGTTATTTGCGATTTGGTGGAGGTTTGGTGTGAGAACTCGTAATTTTATTAATTTCTAGGTTTTATTTTATTCTAATTGCACGCTTTTCACATTTTCTTTATTCAAAAAATTTTAAAAATAATTTTTAGGAGCAAATATGGTTTTTAAATTATTCTTTTCTAGTATAAGCTAGTTCATGAGGTTTTAAGAGTGTATACCGGATGTGGGACCCACTAGTGCGGTAAGTTCGATAAAATTCGGCCAACTAGGTTAAGTTTTGTATACCGGGTTAATTTATCAGGTGTTAAGAGATAATTAGAGGTTATTAGATGGATGAGAGTTGGAGAAACAAAAGGATAGCTTTGAATTAAAGAAAATGACAAGTGTCACTTTGTGACTCAATCTTGACTTTGACTACTATTCATGAACTTTACTAAAAGCTCACAATTGACTACAAAAATCTTCATTTTCTCCATTCCTATAGCCGGCCCTCTCAACAAGAAAAGAAAATAAAGCTCTCAACTTGTTTCTTCCATTTCTTGCACAAATCTAGCAAATCAACCGTTTAAACTTTCAATTTCTCCATAAAAACCCTTCTCTAGGTAGGATTAGGGTTGTTGATGAAGTGGTTTGGAAGAAAGTGGTGCTAAGTTGGCTCTTTTCTTGAGCTTGCAAGGTGAGTAGTTAAGGAATTTTTTCTTTAGTTTTGATAATGTGAAATTAATGACTTGTACTAGTCATAGAGTTGGTTTTGCGCAAGATTTTGTGACTTTTGGTGGAAATTGGTGAATTTTCATAATTATTCATGATTTTTCTGTTTTTATGTGTTTAATATTGCATGGCCATGGATGATGGCTTGGAATGGTCTAGAATGAAACTTTAATGCGTAAATTGTAGCGGTTTACAGAAAATTTCTGCTTTGTACCGAAATTTCCAGATTAGGGTTTCAACTAACCCCTGTTCTGTCCGGTTCTGTTCGGCTAGGTTGGAGGCCGAATCAGCCTTGGGTTAAACATGAAAGTTGTAGGAAATGATGTTTTATAGTTGCCTGTAAATTTTCACCCCAATCGGAGCTGCGTAGCCTATGAAAAGACAGAAATACCCCCAGACTGCCCTAGGTAGAGTTCGGTGGACAGAGTTGACACTTCACCCAATATGACCGAGACTTTTCACCCTGATCCTTACCGAATTAGAATTTGGCCAAAACACAAAAGTTGTAGTACTATGTCTTAGCTTTCTAGTGGCCCTGGAAACCTTCCCAATTGGATTTCGGTAGCCTGAGTTACGGTCATTTAACCGTAATGCAGTTAGTTAACCTGTTTGTGCGATTCTGGTTTGGCACATTGAAATTTTGACCTAGTTACAATATGAATAGGACTGAGTGGCCTTCATCAAAATTGTAGCCCTTTATCTTAGCTTTGAAATGATGTAAATTGCATCTCAATCCGATAAGTGTAGCTTCAGTGGTGTTCATTCCGCTAAGCAACGTCAAATCTATCTTTTGTTTTCCAACCTAAACTTCATTTCCGCACATGTCTTAGCTTGATTTTGCACTTATACATTCTATTTGGTCTTAATCTAGTAGTATGTGGATTCGGTTTATGACTCGTATTCGAGTCTCATTGTGTTTTATTGAATATCTTAGGACGTGCCGGTGACGCGGAGCACTCGTTGGTCAGAAATTTGTGATTTCACTCTGTGTTTGCTTGGTAAGACTCACGTGATTGTTGCTTCATGGCTTTGTTATACCTGAAATTTATGACTTGAATACTTATGTATATGGATGAAATTGGTTGAGACGAGGGTGTACTTTATCACTCTCGCGCTCTATGACTTATGTGACTGTTTACTATATCAATTGAATTGCACTTGAACATATTTGAATTGATGTTGTTTGGATGTGTATCCAATGACCATTACTGTTGTCACTGAACTCAACCCTATTGGTGGTCAATTGAATCAAGTCAGCAAGGGTTTGGTCGAGAAAATTGACAAGCCATGGGGACTGTTTATGTGGAATCCTTGAGTATGAGACTCTTGATTCCGGTATACTCGGGTATTACCATTTATTGAACTGTTTGGAGTTCGGGCCCGGTAGGGGTATGTGAGATGGAAGGAAATTGGAGTAAAGTGGGGTCTACGATATTGGTTACTTTTATACATTGACGGAGCATCAATGAGGTGAGATCAAGTATGCTAAAATTGGAAA